TATTCAAAGCAGATTATGGCTGTCCAGTTGGTAACCCAGAGTTTGTGGGTAAATAATGGAGTACCAACATGAAATGGTTGATATCACCCCACTTTTCAGGATTCTCTAAGGAGAAAATTCGTTTTATTAGGAGGACGTCTCAAATCAAAGAAATAAAATGACCCAACTTAAATTACACAGGCAGTAAGGCAACAGATTTCTTCAATTCTTAATGCTACAAAAACTTTGTTGCAACATTTTAAGTTGAATGGAAGAAGATCGTTTACATTCATTAGAAGTTATCAGTTAAAACTGAGAGCAGAAATAATGTAGGTGAACCTTGACAACGCAAATAGAGATATTTAAAATTAGTTTCTAACAAGTGTTGAAGTGTTTAAACAACTCGAAGATGTAACTAGAATTACTCGAATTTAAGGATAACCTTTTCCTCGGCATTATGCTTCATACTATGCGGCTCATTGAGCCGCACGGGTTCTCTAGTAACTAATTAATAAAAGAGACGTAACATTACTACTTATCATATTTTTCACGATTACTTAAATTCAACATTGTTCGCATTAGAATTTGTAATACAATTTTTAGCCTCAAATGAACTACAATACAATTAGTACAACAGTAAAAATACTTTCGTCTATCTTGACCAACCTAGCAAGATGAGTTGTGGAAGATGTTTTAGGTTGGAAACCAACTGAAGTGTTAAGAGACTTACACGGCACGGCATTTGATGATACAGTGAGTCTGTGTCTGTGTAACAGTGAGGCCTTTGAAACAAACTAAAAGACAAAACTGAAGAAGAAAAATGCCAGAGCTAGTGGGCAGCCTATATAACTATTTTATGGACTAAAGTGTTTGTTTCAGAATATTAGCTATAACGTATTTAACTCTGAAAAAAAATTAAATAGCTTACGGAAAACCTAACAAATTAATCAGTGTATTTAACATTTCCATTTACACATTGACTTGAAGAACAATCTATGCAATAATTATTCTACTGTAAGAAGTAAAGTGGTTAAAACTTTAACCATTTTGAGTGCACTTTTAAATAATTGAGGGGGGAAAACTCAGCTCCTGATTTAGAAATTGATAAAATCAGCTTTTTCTGTCATTCTTTTGTAGCCTAAAGGTGAAAAGAAGTATGATCCTGTGATTTCTAGATATCGCATAACATGTCACGATCATGAAACAGCAGTTTTAATTCGCATTTTTCAAAAATTTTAAAATATTACTTCAAAATTATGAATCTTACTGTCTTCATGAACAAGATTCATCATCAATATTCATACAATTACAATTCAAATGTTCATCCAAAATTACATTCTGTTACAAACTCCAAATAATATACAGTTGTGTAATGATTGAATTTCAAGTTTTGTGGGCTTCGGAACAATCATACAGCTATCAAACTTTACAAAGAGTGGGCAGACGCTTCGAGCTATGGAAACTAATATTGATCCCTTGTTCAAGCTGATATGATTTTCATTATTTGTTTTCACATGATGAAAATGTTTCACAATTTTTTAACTATTTTACAGATCTTGAAAAAGAAACAATTTAGTATAGTGAAGCTTTGTTGTATGCCTAACAGTTAGAGAAACAATTAAAAAGATTGTAGGTTTAGTGTTCATATTTTATTCTCATGAGAATAGACAGTTGTATTTTGATTGTTTATGGATGTATTTCAATCACATTTGTCAATTTTGTTTGTTTCATACCTTCCGTCAACATTGCAATAGAACACACACCCATTACCTTCCCTGTAGCTGTAAACCTAAGTACAGTCAGTATACTCACTTATTTAAATAGGAAATAAATCTGACAGTTTTAAGGGAATACACAGCGTATGAAGGTAATTAAATTAATAACCGTGTAGAAAAAAAGTCTTTAACTTCCATTTTGCTATCATTGGTTAAAATAATTGAGCAATATATCTTTATAAAAAATCTGCCTTACTGGGTTTGAATACATTGATTTTCCTATTTTTAGCTAGCCAGAGCTAGAAATATCTTTGGCCTAACAGAAAAATGCAAAAATTAAACTACTGAAATACAAACTATGTACACCATCTACAGAGTACTCATTGATGTCCGCAACATGTATCAACTGTAATAATTTAAGCGTTTTAATAATAAAATATTTAGCCTGACACTAAAATCTTTAGGAATCATAGGCCTTTAATGACAGTAGTTTGCAACTATCTCAATGGTATTTTTAAGAGGATGTCTTGTTTTCCAACATAATATTAACCTCAGAAAAAATAAAAAAGCCTCTTTTAAAAGTACCTAATTATATAAAAGTAGCTTAAGAAACGTCGGATACGAAGATAAATTAGCCGACTTTCCGCTGCGTAGACTGCTTTATAACGTCAACTGTTAAAAAACTGTGCGTCAGAATATTTTTAATTAGTTTATTTAAGTTTATTCTACTACACAAAATCTACCGATCCAAAATTCAAATTTCTAACCGTTCATGTTTCGGTTGGATTTTGCTGTTCAACATAAAATTAAAAAAATTGCACCACTATGAGTTCAATAGGAATATAATATAAAACATATGAGTAAGTAGCTTACGATGAAAATTAAAGTACAGTTTTACCTTTTTTATTGGTTAAATAGCTTCATTGCAAGAAGGGTAATGGTAATAGCCATTCATAGATCTTCTAGCTTATTTACATTACTTTCCTCTACTACTGTAACACCTGATGCTGGTTTTAATGCTTTTAGTATCCACTAGTAAAGTATAACCTATCTTTATTATCTTTTTAAAAGGCTTAATAGTAACCAAAACAACTTGTAAAATTAGTAATACGAAAATTAATAATGTTTGGGTATCACTGATGGTAATACACATACATATTTGCACAGCATAGATAATAGTAATACATTTATATATTTGTTTTCTTTTATCAGACGTCAAGTTCAATACCAGGTTAAGATACTTGGTGAGTTGATTGTAGTTTTACAAGATAATGTTTGGTGTATCAATGATGGTAAACTAGCTGCTGGCAGTCAGTAACTACACAAAGTATGAGTGACAAGGGGTAGATTAAACGTCAAGTATTGATACCAGCCTCAGGTACTTGGTGAGTTGATTGTAACTTAACAAGATAATGTTTGGTGTATCACTGATAATAAACTAGCTGCTGGCAGTCAGTAACTACACAAAGTATGAGTGACAAGGGGTAGATTAGACGTCAAGTATTGATACCAGCCTCAGGTAATTGGTGGGTTAATTGTAACTTAACAAGATAATGTTTGGTGTATCACTGATGGTAAACTAGCTGTTGGCAGTCGGTAACTACACAAAGTATATGTGACAATAGGTAGTGTTATAAATGAAAAAGGAATATTTATTTTATTTAAATTAGCCTATAAGGAAATCCAGAAGAAATATATTTAGTTAGTATTTGCAAGAGGCAACATGATTTGGCGGAAGCAAAGTCTTACATTAGTCATTACAATAGAACAATAGAGTCCAGTGACCGATAAGAATCCCCACTACCCTTGACCACGCAGAAATCGTCAGTCTACAGTAGATGACAGGTACGTCTATTTGTCGTTTCCGCCTGTTCATTTTTCCAGTATAATTCCATTATATTTTAGTGCGGCCATAAGCCTAGTTTTCGTATTAAATATATGTTTAACTATTTCTCAAAGTATAACAGTGGCGACGAGGTATTTTTAATCGAATTTCACTCGTGCGAAAGTGTTAAAATCAGTGTTTAAAGTTTTGCATATTTCATGCAAAGATCGGTCGAAAATCAGCCATTTTGGGCAAGTATCAGTTACTTTGGAACAGTTCCAGTGAACGGTTACAAATCACAGTTACAGTCTTTGAGTCTAACTATTACCAGTTGGAGTTGTTACTCAAGTGAAACCTATTATTTCTTTTTTGGAACAGTGACAAGTAGCGGTTGCAAATAAATTTATGCCGCAAGTGTTTACCTCCAAGATAGGTTATGTTTTGAAGTTGAAGATGCCAATTTACGTTGATTGAAGTATATTTTCGATTCTGAAGTGTGATTTACTGTAAGTTATTTAATTTCTATGAGTAAATATGTCTTCCAAACAAGTAATTGGTAAGATAACAGAATTTAATGAAGAACTTGAAAGTTTTGAAAACCATTCTGAACGCTTGGATCATTTCTTCCAAATCAACAGTATCAAGCCTGAAAATAAGGTTTCTTTTTTTATTTCTATTATGGGTCCTACCCTTTATACAACTCTGAAAGATCTTATTCACCCAGTTAAGATAGGTGATGCAACAGCTACTTTTGATTTTATAATTAAGGCTTTGAAAGCTCACTTTGTGCCTAAGGTTAATACAACATATGAACGCTTTATTTTCAACAAAGCTTCTCAAAGAGAGGGGGAGAGTATATCTGAATACTCTGTTAGGCTTAAAAAGCTAGTTTCAACTTGCAACTTTGGAGATTTTCTGGATGAGGCTCTGCGAGATAGATTTTTATGTGGACTAAAATCATCTCAAATCCAAAGCAAACTTCTTGCCGAGGGTACTAAATTAGATTTTCCCAAAGCACTTGAGCTTTCTCTACTCATTGAAAATGCAGACAAAAATGTCAGGTCACTACATCCTGATTCTCATATAGGCCTTTGTGCTGAAGTAAACTTTGTCAAGAAATCAAACAAGATAGGCCTACGTAATTCACATCCAAGACCTCAAATGTCTAAAGACTCTTACAATCCAAAATGTTTCCGCTGTGGGAATCCCATGATCCCAAGAATTGTCATTTCATTGATGTAACCTGTTTTTATTGTAATAAAAAAGGGCATCTAGCTAGTGTATGCAAATCTAAAGGTAATAATAGGCAGAGGCCTAAGTTCAAATCACATGGTAAGGTAAACCTATGTGAGTCTGATAGTGCAGATGAAGAATTGTCCCAAGATCAGGGTCATGCATTGTATACCGTAGCCTATGCTGGTAATGACGGTAAAATAAATAGTTTTACTACTCAAATGATTTTGAATGACGTTCCAGTTGAAATGGTCATCGACACTGGTGCAGTGGTGACCGTAATGCCTGATTCTGTGTTTTATAAAAAATTTCAGGATAATTTGCCAATATTGGAATCTTCTGGTATTAAATTAAAAACCTATACTGGTGAAAAAATCAACGTTGTTGGTGAGTTTAAGGTTAACGTCACAACTGAACAAGGAGATCTACAGCTACCTGTGGTCGTTGTGAAAAATACGGGACCGCAACAGCCTACGCTCATGGGGCGTAATTGGATTGAGAAGATCAAATTGGACTGGAGTGGTGTGAAGCCTACACGCAGTGAAGACTTGACGGTGCACCAGCTTGGAAATGGTGAGTCCGTTCCAAATATTATTTCAGATTTTAAGAAGAGATATTCCGATGTTTTTGATGAATCAATCGGGGAAATTAAAAATATTTCTGTGGACATTGTTTTGAAAGAGGATGTCAAGCCTGTGTTTTGTAAAGCACGAAACGTGCCTTATGCACTCAGATCTGCAGTCGAGAATGAACTCGAAACCTTGCAGAAAAATGGGGTAATTTATCCTGTGCTACAATCGTTATGGGCAACACCTATAGTAGTTGTTCCAAAGCCGAACAACAAAGTAAGGCTTTGTGGGGATTTCAAGGTCACTCTAAATCCAAATATTAGGACGGACCACTATCCTCTTCCGAACCCCGAAGATATTTTTTCCAGTATAGCAGGTGCTAAGTTGTTCACTAAACTAGATTTGTCCGCTGCGTACAATCAACTTAGAATAAATAAACCTTCACAGGAATTACTGACAATTACCACACACAAGGGATTGTTTCGCTTTGCTCGCCTCCCGTTTGGTATCACGAGTGCAGGTGCACTTTTTCAACTAACAATGGACAAAATCCTACAAGGATTAGGGAATACCAAGGCGTATTTAGACGACATTTTGATCTACTCCCAAAATGTCAAGGAAATGACTCAAAGAGTCGATGCGGTTTTGCATCGTCTCCATGAATATGGCGTGAAAATTAACTCAAATAAAAGTGAGTTCTTCAAGGATCGTATCACGTTCCTAGGGCATTGCCTAGACCAACAAGGCATCCACCAAAGCAAGGCACTTACGGATGCAATCGTAAATGCACCTAAACCTGAAAATGTATCGCAACTAAAATCATACCTAGGTCTGCTCAACTACTACGGAAAATTCCTGCCTAATCTGTCCACTCTGTTACAACCTCTCTATAAACTGCTTCAAAATGATGTAAAATGGGAATGGTGTGATAAGTGCCAAAATGCTTTTGAAAATAGTAAAAAACTCTTACTTAAGAACAATGTACTCATGCCGTATGATCCTAAACTAGATATTGTCGTAACTTGTGACAGTTCGAGCTATGGAGTAGGATGTGTTTTAGCTCATCAATTACCAGATGGTAGGGAGCGCCCAATCGCTTTTGCGAGTCGCACTCTGACTAAGTGCGAGATCAAGTACAGCCAAATTGAGAAAGAGGCGCTCGCGCTCTTATTTGCTGTGAAGAAATTTCATAATTTTTTGTATGGACGCAGATTCACCTTAGTGACCGACCATCGACCACTAATCTTTCTTTTGGGTCCAACCAAAGCAGTACCAACCTTAGCTGCGGCCAGAGTTCAAAGGTGGGCCTTAACGCTCTCTGCGTATGACTACACCATCCGTTACAAAAGGGGAGTTGAAATATCCAATGCTGATTGCCTCTCACGCCTTCCGTGTGACAGCAGCACTAACAATGACTTAGGCCTAGAGGAAGGTGAAGTAAATTTTTTCAGCAATGTAGACCAGCTGCCTGTGACTCATAGGGAGATTGGATTGGCTACCAAGTTCGACCCAACACTATCAAGAGTCATGGAATACACAACTAATGGATGGCCTAATCATACAGAAGATCCGGCTCTGAAACCTTACATGGACAAAACCTTACAACTGTCTACTGAGAAAGACTGCCTTTTATGGGGGAGTAAGGTGGTGATTCCACCAACACATCGGAAGGAGGTTCTTTTAATGCTTCATGCTGAACACCCGGGAGAATCCAAGATGAAGGCACTTGCAAGAAGCTACGTCTGGTGGCCAAAAATCGACCAGGAAATAGAGGAAATGGTGAAAGAATGTAAGATTTGCCAAGTTACAAGAAAGTCAGCAACCGTAGCACCACTTCAACCGTGGTCCTGGCCGAAGCATAATTGGCAGAGGATTCACCTTGACTTTGCTCAGTATGAAGGCAAAGATTTTTTGTTGATAGTGGACAGTCACTCAAAATGGATCGAGGTATTCTTTATGTCATCGACAACCTCTAACAAGACAATCGAAAAACTACGTCATTGTTTCGCAGCCTATGGTTTACCTTGTACCGTGGTCACCGACGGAGGCCCTCAGTTCACATCAGCTGAGTTCAAGGAGTTTTTGAGGTCCAATGGGGTACACCATGTGTTTTCGCCTCCATACCATCCACCATCGAACGGATTGGCGGAAAGAGCTGTCCAGACGGTCAAAGATGCCTTTTTGAAACAAATGCTTCACGACTCGGCCCATAAGACAAATCGAACCTTGCAACATCGCATAGATTCATTCCTGTTTTCTTATCGGAACACTCCACATTCTACAACTGGAGTCACACCATCCGAAGCCTTTTTCAAATTTAAGCCAAGGACACATCTCAGCCTTTTAAAACCGCATCTGGCTAACGACATGAACTTAAAGCAAGATAAAATTGTAAGATCTGCTAATGCTCATAGAGGCAAACCACGCTCATTCAATGTTGACGATCATGTGTTAGTTCGAACCGTCCGAAATGAAAATATAAATTGGCACTCTGGTGTGATTACTAAAGTCATTAGCCCAATGACATATTTGGTTAGAGTTGATGGTAAAACCAGATTTGTTCATGTTGACCACCTGCGTACGGACGACACCAAAGAAGAACAACCAGATGATGACGACATAATTGTAAGTTTTCCAAGGGAAATCTTTCAACCGAGTCCAGACAGAAAAAAACCATCAGAAATAGAAACACCACAAATGAAACATAAATCACCAGTCAAGACTCCAGTTACGTCTCCCAAGAAAACAAACATAAACCCGGACAAGACTTATGACACTGAGGCTGTGCGTCGATCGCAGAGGGTTCGACGCTTACCTCACAGATTTAACTTGTAAATAAACATGAAGAGACCCCCCCACCTTGTATATATAAGAAGAAAGTTTTTTTAAGGGGGGAGGGATTGTTAAAAATGAAAAAGGAATATTTATTTTATTTAAATTAGCCTATAAGGAAATCCAGAAGAAATATATTTAGTTAGTATTTGCAAGAGGCAACATGATTTGGCGGAAGCAAAGTCTTACATTAGTCATTACAATAGAACAATAGAGTCCAGTGACCGATAAGAATCCCCACTACCCTTGACCACGCAGAAATCGTCAGTCTACAGTAGATGACAGGTACGTCTAGATGTCGTTTCCGCCTGTTCATTTTTCCAGTATAATTCCATTATATTTTAGTGCGGCCATAAGCCTAGTTTTCGTATTAAATATATGTTTAACTATTTCTCAAAGTATAACAGGTAGATTAGACGTCAAGTATTGATACCAGCCTCAGGTACTTGGTGGGTTGATTGTAATTTAACAAGATAATGTTTGGTGTATCACTGATGGTAGACTAGCTGCTGGCAGTCAGTAACTACACAAAGTATGAGTAACAAGGGGTAGATTAGACGTCGAGTATTCATACCAGCCTCAGATACTTGGTGGGTTGATTGTAACTTAACAAGATAATGTTTGGTGTATCACTGATGGTAAACTAGCTGCTGGCAGTCTGTAACTACACAAAGTATGAGTGACAAGGGGTAGATTATAGTCAAGTATTTATACCAGCCTCATATACTTGGTAAGTTGACTGTTACTTTACACGATAATGTTTGGTGTATGTTTGGTGTTTGATGGTAAACTAGCTGCTGGCAGTCAGTAACTACACAAAGTATGAGTGACAAGGGGTAGATTAGACGTCAAGTATTGATACCAACCTCAGGTACTTAGTGGGTTAATTGTACCTTAAAAAGATAACGTTTAGTATATCTAAATTAAACATTTTGTACTAGCCTAAAGCTTTTAATTAGTAAATTCAACTCCCCACATTGTAAACTATTATTGTGAATCCCTTCCTTTTTTACTATCAATTCTTGTACTTTTATTTAATAATATTACGTTTCTGTATTGTAAATACGGAGTTTCCATTGTAGGCTTAAGTTAAGAATGATAACAAGGTAAAACTATTTTGTCTATATTACAATTCCGGTGCTACTACAATAATGTTTACGTTATCTTGTGTTATTTCTGGATTAAAAGCTTCATTTAAGACTCTGTTATCCTGGAATATATCTGATTGGAGGAGACCTGTTCACCATATTTTTATTGAATAAGTAAGATCAGATTTCTACACTAAATATAAAAATAATCTCAGACTTTTACAAATGTAGTGTGTAAATTAAGTATTGAATACAAATCTATATTTTTAAAATCAAAGTAGATAGAAATATTCTGTCTGTGGCAATAATGTTTATAAAAGATTCCGCAATTGTTTACATCAAAAATATTTTTTAACCCCCTAACAGGGTAGGTGGTAAGGGGTGACTTATTTTTTCAAATTGCAACCCCTATTGAGTGACCACTCATTTTGAAGGGTTTGTCAAAAGAAACACAATGACGCAAATCCGAGGTGGATATCTCACCCCTAGCCAAAATTACCCTAGTATTCCAAAATGGGAGCTTTTTCATATTTCAATAAAATTTTTGAATACTCGCCACTTTGGCTAGGGATAAAATATCATTTTCAGGTTTGAGTCATTATTTTTCTTTTGACAAACCCTTCAAAATAAGGGGTCACTCAATAGGGGTTGTTATTAAAACATAAGACAACCCCAACCCCTACCCTGTTAAAGGGGTTAGAATACCGTTGATGTAAAAATTGCAGAACTTATCTTAACAATTAATTCTAAAAACAGAATATGTCTATCTATTTCTGTAAATACAGATTTGTTACCATATTTTTTGTGAATTTGGTGCTTTTACACATACAGTAGGCCTACAGTAAATCAAATTTTGAAACACCTGCCATTTTGCCTAGGGGTGAGATATCCACCTTGGGTTTACGTCATTGTGTTTCTTTTGACAAATCCTTATAAATGAGGGGTCACTCAATAGGGGTTGCTGTTTGAAAAAAATAAGTCACCCCCTACCCCCTACCCTGTTATGGAGGTTAAAAATGTTTTTTATCCAAAAATTACGGAATCTTGGTTAACAATCAACGCCACGAACAGAATATTTCTATCTATTTCGGTTCAAAAAATACAGATTTGTTTCAAGACTTAATTTACACACTGTATAAAAGCTGTTTACTACTGAGAGATCGAGGCTCCGCCAAGTTGTGTAACTCGATCAATGTTACAGACTTAGATATTGCATAGCTTCTTGGTTTGATTGCATTACAATGCTATTATAGTATATTGTAATACAGGAAGTTAAAATATAAGTACTTATACAGTGCGAACTACTTTAATAGTATTACAGAATACAGGACCATACGGTACTTATAATTTCATTATAGGAAACTAATAAATAACCAGAACAACGAATATGATTTTTTTTTATCATTAAAATATAAGTTGCACATAACTGACTAAATGTGATTTTTTTAGTCATCCAGTTGATGTTTTTTAGTCTAAAAAAATCACATACAATCAATTCAGCAGACAAATAATGAATTTGATTTAAATTTTTAATTTTATTTGATAATTTTATTTTTACCATACCATGAGTGTGTTTCCATTTTGCGTATCATACACACGTGAAAGGTTTAATTTCCTACATAATTTCCTAAACAAAACAAATTAGGTAATACATCTGAAGTGAAGTCGCATACATAAAATAATAAACTTTACCATTAGCCCATTAAGACTGACAATGGTTTGACTCAAATAACTACTGTAATTAAGGCTTGACCAGATGACGACAGCTGCAATGTTTTTGAAGGGATTTAAACCAGTTATCACTCATAACATTTCCAAACGTACGATCGATGTCTTCTCCCTATGGACCAAAAAATAATCAAATGCTGTTTTGAAAATGTACCATTCCCTTCATTTTTTATTCTAATGTAATTTCACTGTATACGAAATCCTTGGTGATGGAACTCTTTAATTTCGACTGAATAATATTATAACAGGTAATTTCTTTGTAAAATCTATTATTTTGTTAGTACTCGTGAGGTACTATGATTTTAGAAACAGAAAACTCTCTTATAATTTAACACATGACAATTTCGACGATTGTTTGTGTTAAACAAGTCTATGTCACTAATTTATTTGTAATATAAGTTACCAGAATGTAATATAATCACTATATTTTACTACTATAATTATTTTGTTGACCTGTAAAACACGATATTAATACGGTTTTAGATGTTTTCTAATGAGAACTAAAAACTAAAAGACTTTGTTCGTACCTTTATCTGGAAACGGACTTATGTTTAACACTACATTGGTACCGCAATAGTATACTACTTGAGATCAGCCAATTGTTTACAATTGAAAATTCTAGTTTATAGAGCTTTTAAGCCCTCTCCGTTATGAAACAAATACCTAATGTACGTTTACTACACCGATATAAACTCAAAATAGTTATTGTAAAGACCACTTTGAGCACACACCATTGTTGGTAAGTGGTATAAATATTATTTACCCCTTTGAGAGAGCAATTTCCTACTGAAGCGGTAATGAACAAAAAGATAAACAACTGAAACAACCTCCACGCTTCGCAGGAGATTTATTTAATTAAATCCAAAGATTTACAATCATCTCTCCTGTGGGTATAAATGATATTACAACTGAAAATCCTCTTGTTAACTGTTAATATTTCTATTTGTAGCAATTAAACAAGCATTGGATGTAACGCATTTAAATAAAAAAGATGAATGAATACAATTTCATTAGTATCCTCGACATATTACTAAAATCTTACAATTCATTAGACGTTATTGACTAGTCAGGATTTGATGATGCAAATTAGAAAAAAACCCAACTTTAACTGATTTGACGTTTTATCATGTAACTGTGTTGAAAACCACGATGGCCAAAGGACGATGACTACCACGTGCACCAAACTCATGAGATGGAGTGGTTAGACTCAGAGGTTCTATGAGACTGCCACCACTTTTTACCATTGTAATTTGATCATTTATATCACCGTGGCTAGACATTATTGGACAAATTATATTTTTCCTATGTATTGTGTTGAATTTTTATTTGGTTTTAACATTTAAATTTAAACAATGGATGATTGTTATGGATGATTAAACTAAAAACGAATTTTAACACCTTGCACATATTCCATTAAATGTCTTCATTCTATAAACTACAGTACTAAGACCGCTTTTCTTAACTACATTAAAATTCTAATATTTAAATTGCTCGTTTCTGTCAATAACTATCAAGCTGTAATCTGTCAAACTGATGAAAGACGTATCACCTTCACCCAAGCCGTTCCATTAGTGCATTTTGCCACCCACTCTTCTGCAAATAAAACGCTCTGTTCTGTAATGGTTTGCAGTAAAGTACATATATCAATTCTCATAAATTCTTAAAAATTCTTCTCAAATTTTTTAATTTTGCTCTCCAGAACTCTCTACACCAGTGACGTATTTAATAAATCAGTTCATAACTAATGGTAAGTTTCCACAATTATTAAATACCCCCACCACAGCAAACCTGCCGACTAAGCGAATTTCCATTTGTCTGAATTGATTTTCAGTTAAATATATTTTAATAACATTAGGTTTAACGAGTACCTAGGTTTGCTGCTACAAGGAAACTAATAAAGTGTGTTTTTGAGTAAAATATTGATAGCTTAGTACAAAATAAATAAATTTGCCAAGTTTGATCAAAATATATCCATAAACAAGCAAACTACAACATTTGACAATATTCTCCATAAGAATAACATGGGAATTTTAAATTTACAATTTTTTTAATTTTCTCCGTTACTAATAATCGAACAAAAATACTTTTATAAACTAAATTATTTTTTTTTTAAGCTCTTTAAAAAGGTCTAAAGAGAAATTGGGAAATTTTGTGTTTTGAGGGTCAAAAGTGAGAAAAACTAATTTT